AAAATGAGGGAGTTAATCCCCTACATCTGCCAGAAATTCCCCCTTTATGGTTACTTATCTAATGGAACTTAGAACCTTCTTCCTGTGCTGGAGGGGATAGAATAGAGGCTGAGAGTAACAAGCTTCGCACTCAGACACCCTGAGGTTTGATTCCCAGCTCCAATGCTTGCTTGTTTTTGTTACCGAGAAATTTATTTAACCTTCTTAATTTTATGCAAAATGGCACTAAAAATAGCCCTGCTTTACTAGGCTGTTACGAAGATTATAGGAGATAAAATATGCAAAGTTCTTAGCACACTGTGATCACATATTCAGCCAATGGCAGCTATTATTATACTTTATATTGTTTATGGACATCTCATTTCTCCTTCTGATTTACATTTTCTGACAAAGCAATAGCACACAGCACACGCTAGCTGCCTCACATACTAACACTTTATTGCTGATAAAGGCTGGTTGAGAGAACGATTTTAAATATAAAAGGCATACATTATTATAATGGCTATAGTACAAAATACATTGCTAACGAGTAATACATTATTGAAACAAGTGTCTCTCCTATTTACCTTCATTATTTAACAGTTAAGTAGATTAATGCAGCAGGAACACACTCCTGGAGCTAATAATTAGTAATAATTAGATGTTCCCTATTGCATTTGTGAGGGTTCCAGAAAAAACAATTTCACCCTAGAAACAAAAAGAAAACACCATTTTTCTCTAGAGACGTTAGGCTTTTCAAATCTTAACCGACCCTTTGTTCAGCAGTGAAGAAACTGCTAAGGCAGCAGCTGCCCCTGCAGCTTCCGTACAAGATGGCGCCGCCCACTGGTACAGCCCCGGCAGGGATCACGTCCCCCGGCCGCAGGACCGGAAGTGGTTTCGGCCCTAGTGGATCCGGGTGGGAGCCGCCGGTGGCTGCGGAGGTTCCAGCTCCTCGGCGTGAGGTGCCGCAGGTGTTCGGTTGGGATTCGGGCCACAGGTAAGGGAGGGTCAGAGGCCCGCGAGGCCTTTCCCCGACTTGTGCGAGGGGCGGCGGGGGTTCCCAGGGCGGACTGAGAGGAGGGGTCGTGGAGCTGATGATGTCACCGGTTGCGGGGGCGGCTACATTGCGGGGACCCCGCCGTCCCGGAGCGACTTGGCCCTGCCCCTGTCCCCGCCCTGCGGCGTGGCTTCCTCGGCTTCCTCGCACCCAGTGCACGGAGCCCCCCACGGCTTCCCAGAGAAACCCCCTCGCTCGCACCCCTTCTCCCTGCAGAGGCGCCCACCAGAGCTTGGTGGCTCCCGGACCCAGAGGAAAGCAAGCGCCGGCGGCAGCACCTGGTGACTCCCGGGTGCTGCGTGCTCCGCGCGGCCGCTTCACTCCCTCGCGTGCTTCGCGGGGCCTCTCCCCGCCCCCGCGGTCCCCGCCTCCGCCCAGGCCACGCCCGCCGCCTCGGCCTCGCGGGGGAAACACCTGTTTGTTTTCTCGCATCCCTGGGATAGATGGAAACCAGCGCGCTAGTGAGGATCCGTCACAAAATCCATACCTGATCTTTGTAATACTTCAAACAACAACAACAACAACAAATAAATAAATAAATAAAATAGAAACAAACCCAAACCTTTATAAGCTTTTGACCTATATATAATTGGACACAGACGAACTCTCTTATTAAACACCATATTAATTGTATCGTCCGTTTTAGTTGTAAGGACGGAAGGAGCAGCAGAATGAAAGGTTTTGATCAGAATTGCGGGAGAGAGGAGGTTTAATATGGAGGAATGATTAAATTTGGTCAAGTTGACCTTGTTTTAATAATGTACTTTTGTAAGAAATTGTTTCAGAGAAAGAGAAAGAGGAACACAGATTTGTTGGTCCAGTTATTCATGCATTCATTGTTGACTCGTGTGTGTTCCCTGACCAAAGCGATGCTGTAACCCACGGAGCTGCCCAGCCAGGGCAATAATGCACTTATTCTTCTTTATTTATTTTAGTTGTAGTCTGCGAATACAATCTTGTAAAAAGAGGTGGAATTTTAAAAACAGGATAGATGCTCTTTGACCTGGGTCTTTGCATTTCTATTTTTTTTTTCTTCTTTTTCTTTAGTTGCTTGCCCAAAAGTAAGAACTGTTTGGGGTGTGCTTTTCTATTTCTTTTTCTTTATATGTATTGACAGGTGTTTGCACATATAAAATATATTTGGGTTAAACTTTCACAAATGTATATTTTACAAATATGATGTATTGTACCTACTCAGCAACTTGACGTTTTGTGCTTAAAGATTGGTCTTAGAACTTTTTCTTTGTCATTATGTAGAGATCTACCGTGTTCTTTTGGCTGGCTCTGTAAATTCCATAGTATGTTAAGATTCCATAGCATGTGAGATTCTGTAGATTGCTTATAGTTTTTCACTGTTAAGACACAGTGTTTCATAGAAAAATCCTCCCTCCATGTGTTTGTGTGCCCTTATGAGCATGTCTCAAGTAGTTACTAGTGAGATTATGTTGTTGTTTTTAAATTGATGTTAAGAGAGAGAGGAAAGGAGCGAGGGAGGGAGAGAAAAAGAAAGAGAGAGAGATGTCAGATGAAACATGGGTTGGCTGCCTCCTGCATACCCCTTACCAGGGATTGAGCCACACCCTGGGCATATCCCTGACTGGGAATTGAACCACCAAAGTTTTGGAAGGACACCTAACCAAGCCACACTGGCCAGAGCGTGAAATTACGTTTTCATGATTGTTGGTTAGGTATATTTTCTCTTTGAGAAATGTCTAATTTCTATCGGGTTGTCTTTTTATATGCATATAGTAGTGTTTTTATATATTCTGGATAGTAATCTTTTTGTCATTTATATATATTTTAAATATTCATCTCCAACGTAATGCTTTTTATTTTTATTATTATTTTTTAATATATTTTTATTGATTTTGTACAGAGAGGAAGGGAGAGAGATAGAGAGTTAGAAACATCAATGAGAGTCATTGATCAACTGCCTCTTGCACACCCCCCTACTGGGGATGTGCCCGCAGCCAACGTACATGCCCTTGACCGGAATCGAACCCGGGACCCTTCAATCCTCAAGCCGACGCTCTATCCATTGAGCCAAACCGGTCTCGGCAACGTAGTGCTTTTTAAAGTTGTTGTTTGTCTTGCCCGGCCAGTGTGGCTCAATCGGTGAGTGTCATCCCAGACACCAAGAGGTTACCTGTTTGATTCCTGGTCAGGGCACATGCCAGGGTTCTGGGCTCAATCCCCAGTAGCGGGCATGCAGGAGGCAGCCAATCCATCTGCAGGCTGACACTCTAGCCATGGAGCCAAACCAGCTAGGGCTAAATAAAAACATATTTTAAAAAGAAACATATTTTAAAAAAGAAAAGTTGTTGCTTGTCTTTAGCCATATGGCATCTTTGTTGAACCAAAGCTTTAAATGTTACATTTAAATATATCAATCTTTTACATGTGTATTTCCTATCCTGATAGTTTCATAAAGCCAGAATTTATAAGCCTTTTGAGATTAATACAGGAGGTTTGGGGACAATAAAATGAATTGATGGGCTTTGAATTGTTTCTGGAGCCACAACTCTGGCCTGTAAAGACTTCATTTATAAAGTAAGGACAGCTGTGGTTTTTTGTTGTTAATCCTCACCAGAGGATGTTTTTTCCATTGGTTTTTAGGGAGAGTGGAAACGAGAGGGGAAGACACAGAGAAACATCGATGTGAGAGAAACATTGATTGGTTGCCTCCTGCAGGAACACCTACTCCCTCCACCCCCTACCAGGGCCTGGGCGGGGGAGGAGCTCGCACCAAGGTTTGTGCCTTTGACCAGAATCGAAGAACATGGGACCCTTTGGTCCACAGGTCCACACTCTATCCACTGAGCCAAACCGGTTAGGGCAAGGACTGCTGTTTTTAACACCTCAAGAATTGGGTTGCCACCTAGATGATGGCAGAGCACTGACAAATCCATCATCCATTGTTGGAATGTACATTATCCCGTCTTAACCCTTTGGACATTTCAGTTTGCATCCTCCTGAGCATCTTGGAATTCTCTCATGGTTCTATCCTATTCCTTTTGGAGGCCACCCTTTCCTTTGTGTTGCCCTAGCTTACCCTCAATATCCGAGTCTGTTTCTATGGAGAACTACTGAGATTTCGGGTGCAAGAAGACCCATGTTTTCTGAAGCCCATTTGTTTCGTTCCCCCACTATTTACATCTTGCAGAAAAGTAAAAAAGTAAATAAATAAAATCTCTCCAATAACTTGCTAATGATTAGATTTTTATTGAAGCAGAAATTTCCACTCAATTTTTGTTAGAGATTGAAGGTTGAAAGTGCAAACACCTTGAAGAAGGTATATATCAGTAAGTGAAAGCCAGAGTCTAGCTTAATTTTGTTTTATTTTTTATTTATTATTTTAAAAAATAGATTTTTATTGATTTCAGAGAGGAAGAGAGAGAGAGAGAAACATCAATGATGAGAAAGAATCATGACCCACACTGGGGATTGAGCCTACACCCAGGCTTGTTCCCTGACCAGGAATCAATCACTGAGCCATGCTGGCTGGACTAGCTTATTCTGTTTTAATTGATAAGATTTTATTTGGTTCAGAGAGCCAACTGATAGAGGGCAGGAGGGTTTTCTTTTCTTTTCTTTTCTTTTTTTCCTCTTTTTTTTCTATTATATTCACCAGTTTATTCTGGTCTTTAGATTTTTTTGTTTTTGTTTTTTGGTTTTGTTTTGTTTTTTGTTGCGCAGGAGGGCTTTCTTAGGAGAGAATGGAGATAGAGATGGAGTAGAGAATGTAAAAAAGTGAAAAAAATTAAAACACAACTGCTTCTTGCCAAAATTTGTAACAATTTTTTAGTTTGTGGGCACAGGATTGTAAATGTAACAACCCCCAACTTTTAGTGGAAACTCCTTTCCATACAGGCTCAAATTCTGTGTGTAAACTTATTGTTACTTTTGTCTTGCAGATTGTGGGATTAGTGACATGCTTTCTTAAACAGCAGCAAAGTTGAAGATGTCTAGACACTTGGTGGCTTTGACAGTGACCACTCTCCTTGGTGCGGCAGTGGGGGCGTTTGTCCTGTGGAAAGGCATCCAGCGCCGGAGGAGTAGGAGCAGCCGCAGAGCCTGGCAGCCCCAGCAGCCGCCGCCGCCGCCGCCGCAGCAGCAAGCTCCAAGCAGGAGCGAGCTGCCCCCGCCAGAAGAGGGCCAGCTGCCTTCCAGTGCCCCCAGAGCCTCATGGGAAGAGAGGATCCTGGAAGCGAAGGTGGTCACTGTGTCCCAGGAGGCAGAGTGGGATCAAATTGAACCCTTGCTTCGGAGTGGGTTAGAAGATATTCCAGTACTTGGAATCGACTGCGAGTGGGTAAGTTAAAAAGCAAAAATAGGACACATCATGTCTGCTGTTTCCACTAGAGGTCTTGAGTCATCAGGTGAAGGATAAGATTAAAGATTAGCTTGTTCTCACCTTGCTGGTAAGTAGATTTTAGCAGAAGTTGCTTCTCTTCTCAGGATAAGGGAATGCTCATAATCATTGATTCTGAAGCCAGGCAGATCCATATGAGTTCCGTGTTCACCACTTATCATTCTGTGAACTTGGACATGGTACTTAAGTAATAGGGATGTAATGGTATTTACCTCCCAGGGAATTTCTAAAGGTTCAAATAGCCTCTATAAAGGCTTTAGCACAATTTTAACATATAGTAAGTGATCATTGAATCCTAGCTACTATTAATATTTTAATAGTATTTTCATAAGGATGTCATGGAGAAGTTTATTAAGGAAGTCTATTAAATGGGGATTATTATACAAGTCAAAAATTTAAAAGATAACATTTAAAATTTGAAATGTTGTTTATTCTAAGCCAGGTACTATGCTGTTTTGTTTGATCATATCATTTAGTTTGATTAGATTCTCTTAATAATTCTGTGTAGGGAGATGCTATTACTATCCTCACTTTTATAGATAGGAAATTGGGGCATAAAAAAGATTAGTTACTTATCAAAAGCCACAAAAGTGGTAACTAGAATTAGAGGCCAGGGCTTTCTTTACCATCTGGTTACTTCTTTTTTTTTTATTTTTTTTTATATATATATATATATATTTTTTTTTTTATTGATTTTATACAGAGAGGAAGAGAGAGAGATAGAAAGTTAGAAACATCGATGAGTCATCCATTAGCTGCCTCTTGCACACCCCCCTACTGGGGATATGCCCGCAACCAAGGTACATGCCCTTGACCGGAATCGAACCCGAGTCCCTTCAGTCCCCAAGCCGATGCTCTATCCATTGAGCCAAACCGGTCTCGGCCCATCTGGTTACTTCTAATGGCTATTAACTTTGGGGAAGTTGCTGCATGGTTATGATGATAATAATATGCACACCTACTCTTCTGTCATTCTGATTCACAGAGTGAACTTTAATCTTGAAACAGAAGATATTACAAAAATATAAATAACTCAGAAGTATCATCTTACTAATTCAGTGTTATTATACCTTACCAAGAATCTCTGATATTTTTTTTCTGGATATCTAGAAAACAGCCAGGAACCAGAAAATGTAATCAAAAGAAGCTTTAAGCAGAATAGTTGCCACAAAATCAGATCCAAGTTGGTAGGAGTGACTATTAGATGTCAATACAATGATGACCAAGAAGAGAATACCTGCCAGTGTGGGGAAAGTTTAGTAGTCACACAGGCCCTACACCTTAGCTACTGAGAGTATTTCTTTGTATCTTCAATAGTAGTAATTTATACAAATGACCTTGGGCCACCAAGAAAGAATTGGAGGCCCTGGTTGGATGGCTTGGTTGATAAGAGCATTATTCCGATACACCAAGGTTGTGAGTTCGATTCCCTGGTCAGGGCACATACAAGAATCAACCAATGAATGCATAAATAAGTGGAACAACAAATTGATGTTTCTCTCTCTCTCTCCTTTCCTCTCTCTCTAAAAAATTAATAAATAAGAAAAAGACAGAATTAGACACTTTTAGTTTATTTTATATAAGAAATATCCTTTTAGAAATATTTACATCAACAATAGAAGAAAATATTAGTAAACAGTGAGCTTTAGTAGATTAGGAAAATTCACATTTGCCAAATACCTTGATTATTCTAACTAAATGAAGAATAAGCACAGTAACAACCGAGTATTCTGAAGTGAATAGTTACTAATAGCAATTGATTTAATAATAATAGGGTGTAATATAGCAGAAACATGGAAAAGTTAAAGGGGCAAATAATCCAAAACCCACTTCATTTGGGCTTTTTATATGTATTAATTTCATGCTTGATGCCACCTCTCCCTTGAGGAGTGATTGCATTTCTCCAATTGCTGCCACAGAAAAACTTTATGAAAAAGACATCTGTCCTTGTTCACCTTTCTTCCGTTTTTATTTCCCTTTCTCTTTCATTTACTTTCATGTTTGTTTAGTTACTGTTTTTGCTCTTGTTTTACAGTTAGTAGTTGTTTACATTTATCAAATAATTCACCTTTTTAGTTTGTCTTTTTAAAAAAATTATTGATTTTAAGAGAGAGAGAGAATGAGAGAAAGAGAGAGAGAGAAACATTGAAAAACATCGATTTGTTGTTCCACTTATTTAGGCATTCATTGATTGGTTCTTGTATGTGCCCTTACCGGGAATCCAATCCACAACGTTGGTGTATCACAACAATGCTCTAACTTACTCAGGATCTAGTTTGTCTTTATACCTCAGACCTTTTTTTATTTAGGGTCATTTTCTTTAAGGTCATACTTTAGAAGTTCACTTTTGAGGTCTCATTTGATAATAAAGATTGCTTTGAAAATGTCTTTATTTTGCTCTTGATCTTGAAGATATTTTCACTGGATCTAAAATTTTAGTTTGGCAGTTTATCATCATTTTTACCATATATAATTTTTCATTGTATTCTGGCTTCTATTGTTGCTGTTGAAAATAACTGCTAATCTATTTATATGCTCTGGCCTCTCTCAACATATGAAATTTTCTCCTAGTCGCTTCCCATCCTCCTCATTACTTTCCAGCCTCATTGGGCCTTCATTCGATCACTTGAACAGAACAATCTCATTCCTGTCTCAAAGTCATGATTTAAATTTAACTGGTATATGAATGCCACAGGCTGAGTGCTCATTAGGTAACCTGTTCAAGCCCAAAACATGGTATCAGATCCTTCCTTACTCTCTGCTGCCATCGTGGGGCCACTTAAAGAATCACGGGCTTTTCTATAAATTATTAGCTCTGTACTTCTAAGAATTTTGCATAAAGGTTAGAGTAATTCCACAGGTGTTCGTTATACTATTTATGCTTTCTAAATTACATACAAGTCATATCATTGTGATGTATCACAATATATAAAAACACAATAAAGACAATAAAATATAAAAATTAAAACAATATTCCATAGCATATAATCACAACTTGTGTTAAAACTACAAGTATTTTTAGATGCAAAGAAAAGAGTCTGGAAAAAATATCAGAATATTAATAGTGGTTATTTCAGGGTTGTGGAGTTTGGATATGTTTTTTATTTTTGTATAATTGTATGTTTTGGCAATACATTTTGGCAATAAATATGCAGTACTTTATTTTTAAAAAGAAAAGAAAAAGAATCTTAAAGCTAAAATGGATTATCCACTGGCCCTCAGGAAAGAGGATTCTAAACCAGTATTCTCTAAGTGAGTTACTGATATATGGAAAAAAGTGTTTGAAATTTTTCTGTAATGATTGATGCCTTATTCATTTAAAATTGTTACTTTTGTGTATATGTAATAATGTAACACATTAGTATATTATTACATGTATATAATTATGCATATATGTTATGTATGTCCCAAACTTTTAAAAAATATATATTTTATTGATTTTTTTACAAAGAGGAAGGGAGAGAGAATAGAGAGTTAGAAACATCCATGAGAGAGAGTCATCGATCAGCTGCCTCTTGCACGCCCCATACTGGGGATGTACCTGCAACCAAGGTACATGCCCTTGACCGGAATCAAACCTGGGACCCTTCAGTCCGCAGGCCGACGCTCTATCCACTGAGCCAAACCGGTTTTGGCCCAATTTTTTTTTTTTTAAGCCTTACCTGAGGATATTTTTTGTATTGATTTTCAGAGAGAGTGGAAGAGAGGTGGGGGGAGAGAGAGAAGGAGAGATAGAGAAAGACAGAAGGAAGGAAGGAAGGAAGGAAGGAAGGAAGGAAGGAAGGAAGGAAGGAAGGAAAGAAGGAAGGAAGATCTTTTGTTAGTTAAGCCATATTGACTCTGCTAGAGGCATTATTTTTCCAATTATGCACTTAGTATAAATTGCATACCTATTGGAATCACAAACATTTGAATTTCCAGTAGGAAAACTTTAATTGTAATATATTTGATCTTAAGCACAATCCAGAAACAGTATTAAAAAGATAAGAACTTGCTGAAACCGGTTTGGCTCAGTGGATAGAGCGTCCGTCTGCGGACTGAAGGGTCCCAGGTTCGATTCTGGTCAAGGGCATGTACATTGGTTGCGGGCACATCCCCGGTAGGGGGTGTGCAGGAGGCAGCTGGTTGATGTCTCTCTCTCATCAATGTTTCTAGCTCTCTATCTCTCTTCCTTCCTCTCTGTGGAAAATCAATAAAATATATTTTTTTAAAAATACAATATATTAAAAAAAAAAAAAAGATAAGAACTTGTCTATCTATCCACCTAGATACTTATTTACTTAACTAGTTGCTCGATGTACAAATGAATATTTGTGCAAGAATGGGCCTTCCTTCCCCCTGGCACTGCCTTCACTCTGGCCGGGGTGCAGAACACCTGCGTCTTCACCATGGCAACGATGCAAGCATCCCACCTCATCCCTGGTTGGTTGGTGCCTGCTTATGCAAACTAATTCACCATCTTTGTTGGGTTAATTTGCATACTCCCAATTGGCTGGTGGATGTAGCGAAGGTATGGTCAATTAGCATGTTACTCTTTTATTAGTTAGATGTATTTTAGAAAGGGAACCTGACGAAAAAATGTGCAGAGATGCAGTTTTAGGAATTTGCAGTGAGTATTGTGTCAAATTAGCAGGCTAAATATTAGAAGAAGAAATTTGTAGCTTTTTCATTGAAAGAGCTGGTATTACAGAGAAAAGGAATTAATAAAAAAGGCAATTTGGCCACATCCAGATGAATTATTATGGAACAGAACTCAATAGTCAATTTCTTGTAGTCTTTTTTACCTTGTCTGAGCCCCAAGAAATAGGCACATTAAAGATCATTCTGGCATGCTTTCATTTGAGGATATGGAAATATCCCTCATCGATAAATCGGTGTCTAAGCAGGGAAATCCTAAGGCTTTTATGAGTTAAACCATGGTTTTACTTAGCATTGAAGTTCAAGTTGAGGGCTTAAGGCCCTACTGAATTTTATTTTTAACAATTCTTTGTGATCCTGATTGCTTCTTTGTGCTACTGGTCATCTCAACAATGACATATCCTTCCCTTGATTACTTGTAACACTTTGGTTATTTACCATGTGGTTTCTAAGGGTGTGAGCTGTATAGTACTCTACCCGAAAGGGTTTTAATCCTTAAGGCAGGTTCCATCTCTTATTAACTTTATATCCACAGCGGCGCCTGGTGCAATGCCTTGCATATTGATACTGTAGTTGTAAGAGAGTAGCATTGCTTAGAGCAGGGTTCTCCTCTGGTAACATTTTGTGGGGAGATGATTCTTTGTTGTGAGGTTCTTTGTTGTGAGGGGCTATCCTGAACATTGTAGGATATTTGGTAGCATTCTGGCCTCTAACTAGTGGATACCAGTGCACTCTCTCCCAAGTTGTGACAAGCAACAATTTCTCCAGATATTGCCAGAAGTGCTGGGTCGGGTGTGCAGGTGCAAAATCAATGCTGGTTGAGAACTGCTGTTCTAGAGATAGGGAAGTTTATGTTCTAATCCTGACTTTGCCATTCTCTTTCCATGATTAAGCAAACTGCTTTACCCTAGGCCTTACATTTCCTCTCAGAAAATGAGGATTGGAATTTATTGGATACTAAGGAACCTTTAATTAATGTGAATTTTATATGTAAATATTTCTGGGAATAGCTTCCTTAGCTTTAAGCATTTTCTCCAACTTATCTAATACCTTAAAAAGATTAAAACTATACACCTGAGCCCTGGCTAGTATGGCTTAGTTGTTTGGGCATTGTTCTGTACACCGAAAGATTGCTGCTTCAATTCCTGGTCAAGGCACAGGTTGTGGGTTTGATCCTTGGTAAGAGGTTTGTAGGAGGCAGCCAATTGATGTTTTATGCTCACATCAATGTTTCTCTCTCTCTCTCTCCCTCTATCTCTCTGTCTCTCTCTCTCTTTTCCTTCCTTTCCCTCCCTCCTTCCTTCCCTCCCTCCCTCTTCCTTCCTCTCTAAAAACAAATAAAAAATCTTAAAACATCTACACACCTGCAAGCAATACAGAATAATATTGAATGTAAACTGTAATTGAAAAATAAAATTTAAAAACAAAGCAAAACAAAAAAAGATTAAAACTAGATCAGTTAATATATAGTTATTTTCATCTCTTAAGGTATAAGGATCCTAGCTTATGCCAGTATATATTTTTTCTTTTTATGACCAATATTTGTAACCATAAATGTTGAGAAAGCATTCTGTGCTACCAGGATTTATTATGACAGGTACCACTTACTTGTACTAGTGTTGTATTTCCTTCCTCTTTTTAAACATTGGATCTTGAAGCAGTGATGATAAGGTAAATGAGTCCAAGTCACTAGCATGTACGTAAGAGAGTCTGGATAATAAAAAGAGTTATGCTTATCATCTGGCCACTCTGCTCCTTAGCCCCCCCCCTCCATTAGCCTTTAAAACCAGTATGTTTCCCATGACTCTGCCACTGTGTCCCAGGCTGCCTCTGTGTCAGCTGGTCACTATTTATGGACCGCTCGTATTTCAGGCTCTGGAGTTTGGGCCTTCAGTAATCTTTGTTTAAGCTGCTGCTTTACAGAGTTCATTGCATTTATTAGCACAAGCTGATTCTTAGATTGGAACCAAAATCTGGTCAACTGCTCCCCTTGAGAAGTTAAGGATGTACCTCTTGGATGTTTGCCATCATTTCATGATGTACTTGGTACTGCGCTAGGGTGTGAACTGTGGCCCTGATTTTTCTTCTGTTGCAGGTGAACTTGGAAGGGAAAGCCAATCCTCTGTCGCTTCTTCAAATGGCCTCCCCAAGTGGCTTCTGTGTCTTGGTTCGCTTGCCCAAGCTGATCAGTGGAGGAAAAACAATACCAAAAACATTATTGAACATTTTGGCAGATGGCACTATTTTAAAAGTTGGAGTAGGATGTTCAGAAGATGCCAGCAAGCTTCTGCAGGATTATGGCCTCATTGTGAAGGGGTGCCTGGACCTCCGATACCTAGCCATGAGGCAGAGGTATGGTTTGTGTGAATGCTGCTTGGATTCTTGTAGCTGTGGGGCAAATATTTTAGCAAATTTATAGATTAATAAGAATCAGTAATGAAGCATCTAAAATTTGTCACAAGTCTAGAGGCTTCTGAGATGCATATTAAATTTGTAAGGAAATATTCCAACTTCTGAGAAAAATTTACTTACCTGGAATTGATCTTTTTATTTATTTTTATTTTTTATTTTTCTTAGAATTGGTCCTTTTAAATGAAACATTAATAATATGTCTCTTTAAGTAGTAAACTAATGGCCCCACTGGATAAACAAGGGCTGCAGATTACTTTTTTGTTTTTCCCCATATAGTATTTTTAGGAAATTTTAGTTTAAATGCAGAAGATGTATATTTCCGATTTCTCTTGAAAAAGTGAGGTGATTTGAATATACTAGGTCAATAATTCTAGGTGGCAACAATTGGCTGGGTACCCTGCTCACTTTTGATGAACAAGCGCTATTCCATTTGTCGGAGTCCCCACCTCTCCCATTGTAACTGGGAGTCATCCTGAAGCATGAGTTTGGAAAACCTGCTTTAGGCCAAAATGATGGTAGTTCCAATTCTTTACTTGGAAGTAGAGAGATTTCTCTTTTCTCTGAGAAGTCTATTTTTATGGAAATGGAGTTGCCAATCACTCTTTCATGTATGTATACACAGGTTCTCCTTTTAATAATATGGGCTGAAACAGCCTCAATCCCTGCCTCAGTGACACTGACATTAAAGTTTGGAGGCCATAGCTGATTTAGCTCAGTGGATAGAGCGTCAGCCTTCGGACTGAAGGGTCCTGGATTCGATCCCAGTCAAGGGCACAAGGATTCAATTCCGGGTGTGGGCTTGATTCCCAGTGGAGCGCATGCAGGAGGCAGCCGATCAGTGATTCTCTCATCATTGATATTTCTATCGTTCTCTCCCTCTTCCTTCCTCTCTAAAATCATGGAGGATTTAATCAACTAAGAGAAGGCCTGATTAAAATCTATGCTGATCATAATATTTTATTAGAAAACTAGAGGCCCAGTGCACGAAATCTGTGCAAGGGGCTCAGCCCTCACAGCCCCGCTGCCTCGGCCAGCCTTCGCAGCCTGGGCCAGCCCTCACAGCCCCTCGTAGCCCCGGCTGGGCCTCGCAGCCCCGGCTTTGTCTGGAAAGTCATCCAGACGGTTGTCCAGAATGTCTTCCAGATGATGGGTCGATTGTTCGGTCTAATTAGCATATTAGGTCTTTATTTGAGCTAAAATATGACTGCTTTAGGTTCATTACATGTTACACAATGTTACCATGAAATCAACTGCCAATAAAGATTTTTGTTAATACTTTAGGAACAGCTTTTGGTACATTACAATCAGTTTTTCTAGGATATTCGCTTATGAGTGAGATGCAATACTTTCTCTGACTGGCTTATTTCGCTTAGCATAATACTCTCCAGGTCCATCTATGCTGTTGCAAATGATAAGAGTTCTTTCTTTTTTATAACTGCATAGTATTCCATTGTGTAACAGTACCACAGCTTTTTTTATTCACTCATCTAGTCACTGTTTCCTTGTTAATTTTTTGTCTGGAAGAGCTATCCAGTGAAGTCAGCAGGTTGTTAAAGTCCCATACTATGATTATATTGCTGTCAATCTCTCCCTTAAAGTCCTCTAGAAGCTTTTTTATATATTTAGGTGCTCCTATATTGGGTACATATATGCCTACCAGGGTTATATCCTCTTGTTGGGTTGATCCCTTTATTACTGTGCGGTGACCTTTATTGTCTCTTGTGATGGCCTTCTTTGAAGTCTATTTTGTCTTATATTAGTTTTGCTACCCCAGGTTTTGTTTTCTTTTTTCATTTCCATTTGCAGGAAAAATTTTTTCCCATCCCTTCATTCTCATCCTGTGTGAGTCTTTTGTTCTGAGATAGGTCTCTTATAAACAGCATATACTTGGGTCATGTATTCATATGCATTCAGGTACCCTATGTTTTTTTTATTGCCGCATTTAATCCACTTAGATTTAATGATATTATTGATAGGTCTTATTTATTGCCATTTTTATTCTTTATGCCTATGTTTCTCTCTCCATTTCTTCTCAATACAGCAGTCCCTTTAGCATTTCTTGCAGTGTTGGTTTGGTGGTGATAAACCCCTTTTCCCTTTTTTTTGTGTGTCTGGGAAGCTCTTTATTTCACCATCTATTTTGAATGATAACCTTGCTGAATATAGTAATCGTGCTTTTCATTACCTTGAATACTTCATACCATTCCCTTCTGGCCTGTAGAATGTCTGATGAGAAATCAGCTGATAGCCTTATGGGAACTCCTTTGTAGGTAATAGCTTGCTTTTCTCTTTTTGTCTTTAATTTTAGCATTTTAATTATGATGTGTCTAGGCATGGGCCTATTGGGTTCCTTTAGCTCTGGACTCTCTGTGCCTCTTGAACTTATGTGACCTTTTCCTTTACCAGGTTAGAGAGTTTTCTGCCATTATTTCTTTAAATACATTCTCTATCCCTTGGTTACTTTCTTTCTGGTACTCCTATGATGAAAATATTATTATATTTCATATTGTCCCATAGCTCCCTTAAGTTGTCTTTCTGTTTTTTATTTTGGTTCTCTGATTGATTTTTTTTCCTACCCTGTCTTATAATTCACTGCTCTGATCCTTGGCTTCCCATAATCTTCTGTGTATTCCTTCCAGTCTGTTCTTTATTAGTACTACATCATTCTTATTTCTGACTGTTCTTTTTTCATAGTTACTATATCTTTTCTCATACTTTTGAGCATCATTGCCATCATTATTCTAAACTCTTATCTGATAAATTTCTTATCATTTTATTCAGCTCTTCAGGAGAATTCTCTTGTTCTTTCATTTGGGGCTTATTTTTTTTTTTATCTTCCTATTTTGCCTGCCTATTTGTGTTTGTGTTTATGTATTAGAAAGATCTGCTATGACTTCCAATCTCTAATGCAGGACAATGTGTAAATATCAGATGTTGTTTGTGACTGTCCATGAGCACCCTGTTTGGAGCTATTAGCAATTAACACCTTATGACTCCCTCTGCTGGAGCTGGTGCCTTTGAAAAGAAACTAGATGTGTACAGTGTTCTGCTTTTCCTAGCCCTGAGCCAAGAATTAGATCAGGCAAAGACTCAAAGCCTCCAGAGACCAGCTTCTGCCTACAATCTGATTGTTATTTAGTCTTGATTAATCTCAGGTTATCAGGGACAGGTGGAGTGACAGGTTTTGCAACATGGTGGGGCAGTTGCTTCTGCCTGCAAGCAGATTATTATTCTCAGTCTCTTAATGGGCTAAGAAACTCCACAGGTTGGAGCAATTGAAAACACCCCTCCCTCCAGGCAAAAGCTGCCTGGATGGTAAAAGTCTGCCAGAGAAAGATGTCCTCTGCAGTATGAGGGAATGATTCAGCACAAGAATTCGGGGTGTCTTCCTTTTGAGCTCTCACCCTAGCACTCCCAACCTTATCTTCTGCTCACACAGCTCCAGTCCACTCTGCCCTCTCTCTGCTGGAGCCCAAGGTGAGTGGCTGCACACAAAATTTTGTGTTGGCCCTTTTGTGTTGGCCCTTGTGTGCTTGCATTTCCAGCCATCTCTCCCTGGCAGACAGAAACTCTACTCCTTTTCACAGCCAGATTTTATGTGGGCTTCTTTCTCAGTTCTGGTGCTGTGGGCTAGGGAACCCAGTTTGGGGTTTAGACCTCATAGTTCTCAGTGGAAACGCTCCACAGCTGAGATATCACTCCAGAATTTCAGCTTCAGTCTGTGGGAGCCTGGCCTGCCCTTTTGTGCCTCCACATTTCCTACCAGTTTCTATGCAGTCTCCACTTTCCATCCTTGGTTATCAAGGTTCACTTCTGCTAGTCTTCAGTGGATTTAGGAAGGTTTTTCTATATTTTAGTTATAATTCTAGTTTGGTCTTGGGAGCATGTCAGTGTAGCTTCCACTTACTCTGCAGCCATTTTGGAATCTCTAGCTTCACTTTTGTAGACCAACATGTTCCTTTTTTTTTTTTTTAAATAAATCTTTATTGTTCATATTATTATAAATGTTCCTCCCCCCCCCCCTCATTGCTTTCCTTCACCAGGTTCCCACCCCACCCTCTGCCCTTTCCCCACCCCTTATTGTCTTCATCCATAGGTGCAGAGTTTATGTTCAGTCTTTTCTTTCCCCCTCTCCCCAAGAATCGTCAGTTCACTCCCCTTCCATACCTCTGATTCCATTATATTCAACAGTTAATATTGTTCATCAGATTTTTTTTTAATCTCCTTGGTTTTTAGATTCACTTGTTGATAGTTACGTATTTGTTGTTCATAATTTTTATCTTTATTTACTTTCTCTTCTGAAAGAACCCCCTTCAGCAATTCATATAATTCTGGTTTGGTGGTGATGAACTCCTTTAGCTATTTTTTATTAGTGAAGCTCTTTATCTGGCCTTCAATTCTGAGTGATAGCTTTGCTGGGTAGATTATTTTTGGCTGTAGGTTCTTACTATTTACCACCTTGAATATTTCTTGCCATTTCCAGCTGGCCTGCATGGTTTCTGTTGAGAAATCAGCCGACAATCGTATAGGTGCTCCTTTATAGGTAACTACCTGCTTTTCTCTTGCTGCTTTTAATATTCTCTCTTTGTCTTTTGCTCTTGGAATTTTAATTATGATTTGTATTGGTGTGGTCTTCTTTGGATTCCTTTTGTTTGGAGTTCTGTGCCTTCCTGGACTTGTAAGTCTAATTCTTTCACCAGGTGGGGGAAGTTTTCAGTTACTATTTCTTTCAGTATGTTTTCGATATCTTGCTCTCTCTCAAATTCTGGGACCCCCCATAATTCTGATGTTGGTTCACTTGAAGTTGTCCCAGAGGTTTTTTACATTATCTTCAACTTTCTGGATTCTCTTGCCTTCTTGCTTCTGCGGAGGAGTGTCTTCTGGCTCTTTATGTTCCAAAACTTTGACTTGATTCTTGCGATCTTCCATTCTGTTTTTAGTACTCTGTATAACATTTTTTATTTCAGACAATGTATTCTTTATTTTTTATTGATCCCTTATTACTTCTTGTTGATTCCTTATTAATTCTAGTTGATCCCTTTTCATATCCTCATAGGTCTTATCGACCTTTTCTAGGAAATTCTTGAAAAACCTTATAAGTGTAGATTTGAACTCTATATCCAGTCACTTTTGTCCTCCATTTCTTTCGTTTGTGATCTATTTCCTTGTCTCGGCATTTTCACAGCTTTCCTGAGTTGGTAGCCTTAAAAGTCTCTGTGTTCTGCTTGGATGGGGCGGGGTTTCAGGGTGGAGCCTACAGCCTTGGCTTCCGTCAGCCCCGCCCGATGCGGCTCCTGAGTCTCAGTATTCCTCAGGGTCCTTCAGCACTCCTTGCAAGCACCTCTGAGAGAAAGGTGCCCTCGATTTTCGCCTGCTACCAAACAGTCTAGGTTCTCCCCCAATGAGCTCGGAACTGGGATTCAGTTCAGTTGGAAGTGGGATTGGAAGTGGCGTTCACAGCAGTCTGGAGCTTTTGTCTCCTTCCCACCAGGGCAATCTCACGGCACAGCCAACCGTCCGTTCTCTGAGCGCCTCCGGGACCTCCTTTCGCTGCTCCCCCAGGTTTCTGCCTTACAGCCCAGCTCCCTCTGTAAGAGCCTGGGTCCCCGGGGTCTGGCCTAGAACTGAGGTTCAGAGCACTCAGAACTGGGGCTCAGCACAGTCCAGAGCTTTTGTCTCCTTCCCACTAGGGCAATCTGGCAGCAAAGTCAACAGTCCATCCTCTGCGCACAATGTGCGCGCCTCCGGGGGCTCTGCCATTCGCCATTCCCCTGGGATTCCGCCTCACAGCCCTGGCTCTCTCTGTATGAGCCTGGGTCCCCAGGTCTGGCCTAGAACTGGGGTTCAGCACTGTCGGGTCTGGGGTTTAGCACAGTCCGGAGCTTTTATCTCCTTCCCACTAGGGAACGCCAGCCAGGCACTCAGCCTCCCCCTCCTCTCCGGCTCCGTCCTCTCCACGCGCGCAGCGTGTCTCCATACTTTGGCTTTTACAGCTACTCTGATTTTCCTTCTGGATTTCTCTTCCCTTCTCATTATAGAATTTCCAGTCAGTCGACTTTCCTGAAGTTCTGGGTAATGTCCATTTTATATTTTAGTTGTATTTTATTGAAATTGTTGTGTGTGGCTATGGTTAGGTGTTTACCTGTGCAGCCATCTTGGATTCTCTTGACCAACATGTTCTTAATTTCACAGTTAACTCTTGTTTGGAATTTCTTATTCTTGCACTCATTAGAATTTCTTAATTCTATTTTAACCAGAAAATGTTTAGAGAGCAGAAAGGATACTTAATGTTATTGTATTCTAGAAGCCTGGTGCACAAATTTGATCACTGGCCAGGTCCCTTGGCCTGGCCAGTGATCAAAGCCTATCAGGGGGCTGGTCGGCCAGGGGAAGGGGCCTTGGGGACTGGCTGGGGGAGGTTGGCCAGTGGGGTGGGGAGGGGCCACGGGAGGTTGGCTGTCTGGGGGAGAGGGGGGAAGGGGCTGCAGGAGGTTAGCTGGCCAGGGGGAGGGGTCATGGGAGGTTGGCTGTGGCAGTGCACTGACCACCAGGGGCAGCTCCTGCGTTGAGCATCTGCCCCCTGGTGGTCAGTGCACATCATAATGACTGGTCAACCAGTGGTTCCAGTCATTCCAGTCGTTTGGTCATAACGGTTGCTTAGGCTTTTATATATATAGATTCTGTCCCTCGATGAAAATAGCCTATCATTTTTTCAAATTTGAAAAGTTATACATGAACAGTAGCCAATTCAAACAGAAAAATATGAAGAGGATATATAATCATTCCAAGTCTCACAATAAGAGATAATACCACTAACATTTGATCCATTTGTTTCTAGTTATCTCTTTGTGTTTCTTCTCTCTGTGATCACATACCAGAATCACATACACATATTTATTATGTAGAATATATGTTAACATAAAGGGACCATAGTATATGCTTTTCTTCACAGTCTCTTTTTACTTAACTAATGTATCATGGACATCTTTTCACATCAATATAGATCCACATACTTATTTGTAATAGTTGTATATAATGTAATTGCATGGATATTTAACCAGTCTTCTATTGAGGGGCATTTAGGTTGTTCCTAATTCTTTGCAACTGAAATAGTGCTGTATTGAAGATTATTATAATGTACTTTTGTCCTCAGGCTAAATTTCTAGAAATGGAGTTCTTGAATCAGAATTTTCATGTTCAACATTCTGATTGCTATTTATTGTTAAATTGTTTTTTATAAAGGTTGTAAAATATGCAAAGTTCACAAATGTTAGGTTAGACTGTCTATTCATGCTCCACCAATACTAAATATAGTTATTTTAAATAAATCTTTGCAATCTAATAGGTTTAAAAATTATAGGATTTTATTTTACTTGATGTCTAGTGAGATTGAATATCTATCATCTGTTTATTAGCTGTTTATTTATGTTTATTTTATTTGTCCATTTTTGATACATGATTTTATTTTTTGTAGGAACAATTTGCTCTGTAATGGGCTTAGCCTGAAATCACTCGCTGAGACAGTTTTGAACTTTCCCCTTGACAAGTCCCTTGTACTTCGTTGCAGCAACTGGGATGCTGAAAACCTTACAGAGGACCAGGTACTTCTTATCTGAGCGCTTGAAGAATGGAAGCATAATTGTTGTTAAACTTCTAATCCTCAAATAGAAGTATTGGGCAGAAGTGCCTTAAAATAGATTCCTGGTCTGATGATAAACAAGATAATTGTTCTAAAATAATGCTTAATGAAATTTTAGGAAATGCAAAAAAATAATTTTTAATTTTGACATTGAAAAAAGTGGATTGAGACCATAACACATATGGCCAGGGCTTTTGAACTAGTGGTTTTTGTTTTTTTTAAATCAGTAACTATAGATAATAAAACATTAAATAATGTTATCAGTAATAGTTAAATGTCAGGAACTGTCTTTCCTCTCAGTCTACTCAGTTCCTCCATAGATGAATCTTCTAGTCTTCTGCTCAAGAGGTATAAGCCCACAGCCTGTATTCTGATGGCTGAGTGCTGCTAGTCTCACCATTCAGTGTGTAGATTTTCTCGGAATCCCTCTTTTTCAGTGACACTTCCAACCTCCGCCATGCCTGGTTTTACTAGGTCCAGATCCTCTGTGATTTAGCTATTATATGATTAAACTTGTCAAAACCAAATTCTACACATTGAATAAAATAAGATTAGTTTACTTATTTATTTTAATATATTTAATTGATTTTTTTACAGAGAGGAAGGGAGAGGGATAGAGAGAAACATCCATGAGAGAGAAACAGGAATCAGCTGCCCCCTATACACTCCCTACAAGGGATGTGCCCACAACCAAGGTACATGCCCTTGACCGGAATCGAACCTGGGACCTTTCAGTCCGCAGACAGATGCTCTACCACTGAGCCAAACTGGTTTTGGCTAAATTTAATTTTTAAAAAATTTCTCCCATCATCATTTATTCCCCCATACCCTCTTCCACCTCCACTCACCCTCTTCCCCACCGAAATCACCACGTTATTATTTATGCCCATGACAGAGTTGGTTATTATAGTGAATTAAAATAAGCCCAGCCAGTGAAGTTCAGTGGTTGAGCATCGACCTATGAACCAGGAGGTCATGGTTAGATTCTGGTCAGGGCACATGCCCAGATTGTGGGCTCAATTTCCGGGGCTGGGGGGTGGAAAAGGGGGCATGCAGGAGGCAGCCAATCGATGATTCCCTTTTATCATTGAAGTTTCTATCTCCCTCTCCCTTCCTCTCTGAAATCAATGAAAATACATTAAAAAAAAATAATAATCTTAAAGTCTTTATAACCTTTTTGAGAAAAGCTATTAATTATACTACTGACTACTTTTATTTATGATCAGCTTGCTTATAACAAATTGCTTGGGAGAATGACTTCTCATTATAAATAAATAAATTCCACAAATGGGCTTTGTGATTTTTATTTTTATTTATTTATTTTTAAAATATATTTTATTGATTTTTTACAGAGAGGAAGGGAGAGGGAGAGAGAATTAGAAATGTCGATGAGAGAGAAACGTCGACCAGCTGCCTCTTGCACACCCCCTACTGGAGATGTGCCCACAAGCAATGTACATGCCCTTAACTGGAATCGAACCTGGGACCTTTCAGTCCGCAGACCGACGCTCTACCACTGAGACAAGTCAGTTTTGGCGGGCTTTGTGATTTTTAAAAATACATATTTTTATTGATTTCAGAGTGGAAGGGAGAGAGAGAGAGATTGAAGCATGAATGATGAGAGAGAGTCATTGATCGGCTGCCTCCTGCACACCCATACTGGGGATTAAGCCCACAACCTAAGCTTGTACTCTTGACCAGAATCGAACCCAGGATTCTTCAGTCCACAGACCAATGCTTTATCCACTGAGCCAAACTATCGAGAGCAGTCACACAGGCCTCTTAATGAATGCTGGTCTAGGCTGTTCTAGATGATGACCATCCCCAAAGTGAAGTTCATGTACTAGTTGTAACTACCCTACCCCAGATTTGAAAAAAATCTGTCCAGTGGATTTGGTAACAGATACAATAAATTATGTAAACAGAAGTAAACCTCACTGATTTATATAGATTAGGATTTTCAAGCATTTAAAGTAAGTAATTATTTTAACTATTTTAGTTAAAACATAGGGAACATGAGGATTCATTACACATTTGATTTGCTTTAAAATATATATATATATATATATATTTAATATATTTTATTGATTTTCCACAGAGAGGAAAGGAGAGGGATAGAGAGCTAGAAATGTCGTTGAGAGAGAAACATCGACCAGCTGCCTCCTGCACACCCCCTACCGGGGATATGCCCACAACCAATGTACATGCCCTTGACCGGAATCGAACCTAGGACCTTTCAGTCTGCAGACCGACACTCTATCCACTGAGCCAAACTGGTTTCGGCTGCTTTTGTATAGTTTTACATTTTTCATAATAAAGTTGTTAAGAAGATGTCCAGGTTATCATACATCTTAGACCTGGAAGTTGTTTATATCTTTGTGTTGCCTTTGAAGTTCTCTCTCTGGTTTGCCTTCTAGATTCCACTGATCTCTGATTTTTCTCTTCAGGTGATTTATGCTGCCAGGGATGCCCAGATTTCAGTGGCTCTCTTTCTCCATCTTCTTGGATACCCTTTCTCTAGGAATCCAGCGTTAGAAGAAAACGATGACCGCATTGGCTGGAGAAAAGTTTTGGAGAAATACCAGGATTTTGTAGACATCCCATTCCGAAGCAAAGGAATTAGCAGATTGGGAGAAGAGGTTAATGGGGAAGCAACAGAATCTCAGCAAAAACCAGGAAATAAGAAGTCTAAGGTCCATGTAACGGTGCCCGGCAACCAGCAAGGGAGAGACCCCAGGAAACACAAAAGAAAGCCCCTGGGGGTGGGCTACTCTGCCAGGTAATTGACTTGTTTTCTGTCTAGTAAAGTGTCAGAGGCCCAGCCTTGAACAAAAGGCACTTGTGATATCTCACCCTGGGGTTAGGAGGAGGCGTGTGTGGTAAGGAAGCAATAGTTCTCCAGGGGTTATTATTCTTCCTTTCCTTCAAGGACATTTGTAGCTATCCTTTGATTTATTTGTGTACTTTCCTCCTTTTACTTTATTTTAAAATCCTCATCTGAGGATATTTTCCCATTGATTTTTAGGGAGAGTGTAGGGGAGAGGGAAAGACAAAGAAAAACATCGATGTGAGAGAACACATCGATTGGTTGCCTCCTGCATGTGCCCGACCAGGGCTGGGCTGGGGAGGAGCCTGTAATTGAGGTACGTGCCCTTGACCGGAATGGAACCCGGGACCCTTTGGTCTGCAGGCTGATGCTCTATCCACTGAGCAAAACCAGCTAGGACTCCTTTTACTTCTTCATTGTTGAGCAGTTGGAGTGGTAATGAGGAAAGCTTAACTTAGCTTTGTCTCAGACCCTAATTTGACCTTAGACCTATACTTTCTCCAGTTATAAATGAAAGTATAATTAATCATTCCTGCTTGCTTCAGGATAGCTGTGAATAACATAAAGTGCCTCATACTTTTCAGGAGAAATGTGTCATCTGATTTCTTGTTCATTTAGTATTTGACTATTTAGAATGGCATCAGCTCTAAACCAATGTTACTCCCTAGCCAAGGAGAATTTTCCTGTACAATTTATGCCCATGCTGTAGAAAGATGACTAATAATCTCTGGTCCTGTAGCAAAGTTCCTTCAGGAACTGGATAATTAAATTGAAGCAAGTGTTGTGTTTGAGCCAAAAATAAACCCACGTGGCCCTCATTACTTTAACTTCAAGTTCTTTCATTTTAATTTACTTTGTTTAATCCAGTGATTACTCCAAAGGGCAGTGCTCTGTTCCTGCTTGTTTCACAATAGAACTTAGCCCCAGTCCATATGTATTGAAACTAGGAGTATACGTTCTTCATTTTTATTTCTGTTTCCTAGCTCAGTGCAAATGGAGGAATTAATATGCTCTTTCCATGTTTAGTTTTGTTGTTGGCGGTGGTGTTGAGAATAGCCTAGCTCCATCGGAAGAGAACATGGAGCTAGGCTATTCTCAACACCAATAGTTAGCTTTCAGGTTTAGCCCTCTTTCTCCCTTCCCAGCAGAAAATCACCACTCTATGATAACTGCTTCCTCCATGCTCCTGATGGACAACCCCTGTGCACTTGTGATCGAAGAAAAGCTCAGTGGTACCTGGACAAAGGCATTGGAGGTTTGAGAGTCATATTTGATCTATAAATTAGGTGCATGTGGGCACTGGCAGCAGTGGGGAGTGAGAGGAGGGAGAGGGATGGATAGAAGTAGGCAGAGAGACCTTGAGTCACATGGGACAGGCCTATTCAAGACCCAGAAATAGTGTTGTCTGCCAGGACAGCCAAGAACAATTAAGGTGGTTTTTCTTCTCTGGGGCACAACTGAACAGGCAGATACTAACTAAGACTTCTTTTCTCTAAGAGCTGGTGAGTCAAGAGCCTTTTGTAGTCAGGCTACAGTTTGAACCTGCGGGAAGACCGGAATCCCCAGGAGACTACTACTTGATGGTTAAAGAGAACTTGTGTGTAGTGTGTGGCAAGAAAGACTCCTACATTCGGTGAGTGCGGGTTGCCTGCCTGTCTGCCTGCACTGAAATTGCCTTTGTAGCTGTATGCAGAGCCCTCGGGGCCTTGCTGGAGTCTGCCCACTTGATCTTGAGGGTGCATCCCAGTTTCCCTGAGAGTTTTGCCACTCGGCCTGGCCTTGCTCTGGTGCCCTTACTCTTCCTGAACCCAGTTCTTAGCTTCTGGAATGCAAAAAGAGAGTGGTTCCCTTCTGCTCACCGAGGAATGGAGAGCAGTTCCTTCAGAAGCTGCCTTTCTCTCTGTAGGTGTGCCGAGAGTGGAATAGGTAGTATTTTTATGTTGTCTCTGTCAGGTTGTGGAACTCAAGGCTTCACAGTTATGTTCAGGCCCAGATCAGAATCCTAGCGGCCCCTGTGCTAGCTACAGGTGTGTTCTCTGTCTCGTGCTAATGAGCACTGCCTTCTGGGTGGGCTTGTTCAGGAAGAACGTGATCCCACACGAGTACCGGAAGCACTTCCCCATTGAGATGAAGGACCACAACTCCCACGACGTCCTGCTGCTCTGCACCTCCTGCCATGCCATCTCCAACTACTATGACAACCACTTGAAGCAGCAGCTGGCCAAGGAGTTCCAGGCCCCCATTGGCTCTGAGGAGGGCTTGCGCCTGCTGGAGGATCCAGAGCGCCGGCAGATGCGCTCCGGGGCCAGGGCCCTGCTCAACGCCGACAGCCTGCCTGCCCATCGAAAGGAGGAGCTGCTGAAACCTCTCAGAGAATTTTATAACACAGACACGGTCACAGAGGAGATGCTTCAAGAGGCTGCCAGCCTGGAGACCAGGTACAATGGACAGTTCTGGTCAGAGAAGGAGTGAGGATTAATCGGGGGGGGGGGGGGGGTAGTGGTGGTGGGGAGAAGGGCCATTAGTCATTTAGGTGCAGTGCATAATCTCATAATTATTCCAGTATCTAATGCTTTAAAATACCTTGGGGGTGAGATAGAACAATCTATTTGAGAATTTCCTTTCTATAGGAGACTTTCCTTCTATCTTAAAGTATATGACCCTCTAAGTCATAATACTTATATCTATTTTTCATGATTAGTGGGAAAGTTGAAATGCAGTAGAGTTGTGCTTTAGATGTTTAGTGCAGAAGTAAATCCTCAAGTCAGCACATAAGATGAAAATAATAGTCAGGAAATGCCCTCAAATCACTGAAGTTGTCCATGAAACACAGCATGTGTGGTTTGTGTCTCACCTCATTCAGGTCTGTGGGAATTGTGACAATGGATTCATGTGTCCTGTTCCACCTGCACTCCAGGGTACTGACCCACTGATGGGATGCTGGCCAGAATCCCATTACTATTTTCTCCTTTTTCCTTCGTTCCTTATTTTCTCAGACCTCCTCCTCCATTAGTACACAGTTGAATTCATATTTGCCTTAAGTCAGTGTTCCTCAATGAGAAGTTTGTGGTCCTAAGAAATGAATATTTCCGTAATGCAGATGATAAAAATTCTGGGCCACCTGTTATAGTTCTGCTTCCCAACTCAATTTCTTCAGAAGTCCTAGGGGTTGAAATAATTGAACCGTTAAGTTCACAAAATTCTGTTTGTGATGCTGGTTGCCTGTAATATTTTTGTTATAAATAACCCCAAAATACTTTAACTGTAGCAGCAAATATTTATCAAATATTTATAGATATATTTATCTAGCAGGCTACTAACCTTTACATAAGTTGCTTTATTTCCATAAGTTGCTTTATTTCTTCTAGCAGACCCTATGAGGTATAATTTAGGCTTCTTACTGTTAACTAACATTGTATCTTACTTTAAAAAAAGAAAATCATAGTTTAAAAAAATTATTTCTGAATTTTATCCTCATTGAGGTTATAGAATACATTTTGTTTTCCAAGTTTCATATTACTGTAGATACCCTGAGGTTAAAATTAAGTAACCTGCCAAGGTCATATTAGAAATTAATGACACTGGCTCCTTTAACCAATCCCGAAATGTGTTTCCTAAAGCAACCAAACTTCCCCTTCCAACCATAGACCTTTCTAGTATTTATCTTCTAGGACCAAGAAAAACAGCTGTTTTGGAAAAGATAGACAAGTTAGTTGGATACTCAGCAGCTAACTAGTAAAATGTCCAGAAATACTCAGAAGGCACGGTTGCTGCTAGACTGGCGGGGTCTTGGGAGGAGGATGAGAGGGGCGTGGGTGCAGGGAGAGGAGCTGTGTCTGCTGGGCAGGGAGCTCCTGAGAAAGGAGAGCTTTATTCAGAGGAGGTGAAAGCACTGTTCACCGGCTTCAGAGCAGGTTTTAAGGCCCCTCAGCATAGCTGGGAAGGAAGCCGGGGTTTGTTTTCCTGTTAAACAGCACTAGCTGCACAGCGAACCACCGCATCCTTTCATTGTGACTACAGCGCTTCTCAGGATGTGATCTTGTCATGGGTGTGACACTTCTCAGGATGTGATCATTCTCCTGGATCTGATTTAGCATTCCTTTTGTGAGGAGGGAGGTCCTAAAGAAAGGCCCCCCCCCCTTGCATTTTACACTCAGGTATTGCACTGTTATGAGAAACTGGAACACAGGTTAACATCCTGGTTGAACAGTCTCATGTAAATACTGGGCATGATTCAGGATGAATAACTTGAAAGAGGCGTGAGCTGGTAACTGAGCATCCTGGAGTAAATACAGGGTTAGCCCTCTTCACCCTCATCAGCCAGACAGGAGGGTCCTCTAAAGGGGGCTGACCACAATGCAGTGGTTTCCCCACAAGTTCAGCTCTGAGTCCCCAAATGCCCTCTGTTGAATTGTGGGCAACATGCCCAAACTTAAAAAAGAAGCAGCAGCGGCGGCAGCAGCGGCGGCATATAAGAGAAAGAGGATGTTTTGAAGATGTTAATGTAGCTCGCCCGCTAGTCTAGCAGCCTCCCTCATACTCTGTGAGCCCCGTGACCCGCAGCATGTGGAGCATCTGTGAGACCGTCCTGTGCCCATTTCCCTCAGACCTTTGTACTTCATATCTTGGCAGGATTTCCAATGAAAACTACATTCCTCATGGGCTGAAGGTGGTGCGGTGCCATGGCCGGGGCGGGCTGCGCTCCCTCATGCAGCTGGAGAGCCGCTGGCGCCAGCACTTCCTGGACTCCATGCAGCCCAAGCACCTGCCCCAGCAGTGGTCCGTGGACCACAACCACCAGAAGCTGCTCCGGAAATACGGGGAAGACCTTCCCATCAAGCTGTCGTGATGGTTGCTTTCCTCCCAGGTGAGGACAGCTGGGAAGCTGGAGCCAAGGTGGAACTGTCACCTCTTCCCGTTTTAATACGTTAATTGTCAAAGCCTGTGACACAACTCAGAATACTAACCCATACTGATCCCACGATGCTTCTGGTGGATGGCGCGTGGCTCTTGTTTTAAGGGGAGCTTATGGTTTTGAATTTTAGTTGGGCAGAATGAAAATTCTCTTTTTTCTCCATTTTATTTTATTTTAGTGAAGAAGGAGGGTCTTGAATTTATTTTACTCTTTCTTTCTGCTTTCCCTGGGCAGATGGCAAAGGAACGATTCTCCCTGAAGTGACTTGTCAGGACTCTCAGGTTTTTTAAATACATTTCTCCCTGTTCAGTACATTGATTTATCTCAAATGGGCTGTCAGTATTTCAATACCGTCAGGCTAGGAGGGGAGAAAAAGTTCTTCTAGGGAGTTGAGAGACAATCAAGGGTTCAGATTAATTTTCCCAGTTCAGCCTCATAATGATATATTCTTTGGCCCATTGCTCTCCCATAATGCACCGGTTTGGGATCCATTCCCAATGGAATCACTTCAGCTTATTTCACACACTTGAGCTTACTTCCCTCGGCATGTCAAAGACCAAAGCGACACCATCCTTTCTTTGCTTCCACACTAGCACTAGAAGAATCATTTTCTAGAGACAAGCCTTCCACCTGTGGGGGGAGCCTCAGCACCATCTCCCCAGAGAGCTTCGATAAGTTGCTGTGCTTTTCCTCTCATGCTGTTCATTGTCTGCTGGTTGCCATCCTCCTGCCCATAACTGCGAGGCTTTTAGCTTAATCCCTTTCTGGGAGGAAGATTATCTTTTCTCAGAATCAGCATCAGGTCCCTGCAGAGTTCTGTTTCCATCAATTTGCAGTACTGACCTCTTTCCAGCACTTAATCCTCTCCTGGAGTCTTTGGTTGCAGTGAGGATCTCTCCACCTCCCCCCATACCTGGAACACTGCGATTTCTTATGTGTTTAGATGTTAAAACAGTGGGGTGTTTTTTCTTTCAAAATGTGAGGTCGCCACTTTACACGAAATGTGCCCAAGTTGGTGGTGATTGCTCTAACATTGATAAATAAAACTTCTAAGCACAAAACTTACTGACTGTAACTGTAAAAATTGTTTCTTCATAACTTTATAAAGTTGGTAAATATTCTTGGGGGAAGAGATAGTTGTCCATGCAGCAGTACCATCATATGTGAGCATGGATGGACACACACACACACACACACACACACACACACACACACACACAGTGCAGCTTTGGCAGGTCAACAGCAACCCACAAATACACGTGCACATCCTGCATGTTGTTCCTCTGCCCCTTCATTCCACCTTTTCCTCAAAAAGGCATCTCTGGGATCTAAACTAGAAATCCTTGAAAATGAATGGTACCGTGTACTGTGGGGACCATATGTTCAATGCTGTAGGTTATTAGGGGCCTGTGTCTCTGACCATACTGTTTGGAGCCCATGGAGACAGGTGGTCATGTAGTAGTCAGACTTGCCACAAGGTGGCACTCAAAGATTTTGTTTTACATTCCTTCTTGAGAAGAGACTTTTATACATTGTTCCTGAACACAACCCATGATTTATGTTTCAAAATTTACGGACCTTAGCCCTAGCCGGTTTGGCTCAGGGGATAGAACGTCGACTTGTGGACCGAAGAGTCCCGGATTCAATTCCAGTCAAGGGCATATGCTCAGATGTGGGCTTAATTCCCAGTAGAGGGCGTGCAGGAGGCAGACCATCAATGATTTCCCCTCATCATTGATTTTTCTTTCTCTCTCTCCCTCTCCTTTCCTCTGAAATCAATAAAAGTATATATTTTTAAATGTGTGTTCCTTATTTGGGGTCATTTTGATAGCTTTTTAAGAAAAACTTCCTCTGTAACAAGGATTAGGACTCTTTCGTTCTCTTCCCATGTGATCCTCATGCTAAGAGGTAAGAGACTTGTACAAGATCAATTAAGGTGCAGTGGTTGCTGTGAGAAGAAGGATTGGGCTCCCCAGCAGACCTTCCTGCAAAGCCACGGTGGCTAGACTAGCACAAGAGGTGTAGCATCCTTTTCAGAAGTTACTTGTGTAGATTTGAGTCTTTTGTTCACTGAGTCAACGTTGAACTTTATTTTTAAAGATTTTTTAGAGAGAGAAAGGAAAGAGAGAGAAACATCCATCGGCTGCCTCCTGCACAACCCCTTCCAGGTAACAAGCCCATAATCCAGGCATGTACCCTGACTGGGAATTGAACCTACGACCCTTCTGTCCACGGGAAGATGCCCAACCAGCTGAGCCACACTGGCCAGGGCTCGTCAGCCTTGGGCTTTAGCAGCCTATCCCTAAGGCTGACAATTGCTATTTTAAATAAGATATTTTAGAGTAGGCATATTAGAAATACTTAACGTTTTTTTTCTGATAAAAAAGTAATATATGTTTATTATAGATAAGTCTAAAAAAAGAATAAAAATCATTCATCTTGCCTCCATCTAGAACAAGCTAACCTTGGCTGATATATTTATGAATTTCCTTTTGGTGTATAAAAATGCATGTAATATATGTATTTAAACCAAGTTGAGAGTCATACATATATTCAGCTGGGTATCCTATATCCCCCCTCACTTAACATGGTATCACAAGTAAGTAATTTCCTGTGTCAGTATTGAAAAGTAGATCTCTAGTGGACTACCTTACTTTAGTGATCCATTCCCATACTTGAAAATTTCGGTTGTTTCAGGTTCTTTGTTAATATCAGTGACGCTGTGGTGAACTTTCTTAATGTCTACATCTTTGCCTGTGTCTTTAATAATTCCATTAGAATAGAACCCTCGAGATTGAATCGGGAGGAGGGGCCTCACATTGCTGGTGTGAGTACAAGTTGAAAGCATCTCTAGGGATGAGGGTTAGGGACGGCTTCTCGTTGACCCTGTGGCTCATGTTCCAGTGCATTTGCCGAGCTTCTCTGTGAGTAGCGGCGAGAGGACAGTTCCCAGCAAGGGCCTCTCTGAGTGTTCCGGTCAGGGCCTTTTCTCTGCGTCCCTCTGTGTCCCTCTCTCCATCGCCTCGTTTGCCCCTTGCAGCCAATGTGTTTTGGAAAAACTGCTTGTTTGAAAATAAAAATGTAAAAATAACTTAAAATGAACGTTTTTATTTTAAAATAAAAACTATAGGTTTTTTGGTTTTTTTTTGCTAGATAAGCAATTGGTGATTTACTATCTGAAAGAGAACAAAGCACAATATTCAGGGATTTGTTGCTTCTTTAAGAGTGTAGCCATAAGTTACTTATTCTTACCCCTGTCACGGACAGAGATCAGATGACAAAATGTGTTCTGTAGAAATAAAGCCATTTTAATCCCTCATTTTAGACGCTTAGGAACCCAGCAGGCAGAAGGAGCTTTTTGTTCAGCTGCCTGTCTGCCTGAGAGTTCGGGGCTCTAACAATTTGACTGTAATTTAAATTCTTAGTTTACCTTGCCCCTATGAGATTTTTACTCATTCATTTACCCTTTCTTCCTTTAATTTTTTTCCATTTTGTCTCATCCTCATGAGAGATATCACTTTTTATTTTTAAAGGAGATAGTTTCTCAGTTTGCTATTCACTAATTATTATATATTTTTAAAGGATTCCTCTTTCTGATCTTTTGTCTCTTCTGTTGTGTAGATTGTCATTTTTTTAAAAATATATTTTATTGATTTTGTACAGAGAGGAAGGGAGAGAGATACAGAGTTAGAAACATCGACAAGGGAGAGTCATCGATCAGCTGCCTCTTGCACACCCCCCACTGGGGATATGCCCGCAACCAAGGTACATGCCCTTGACCGGAATCGAACCCGGGACCCTTCAGTCCCCAAGCCAACGCTCTATCCATTGAGCCAAACCGGTCCCGGCTAGATTGTCATTTTTAGAGTACCCAATCCCTTAGGAAAACAATGAGAACCAGTTTTTTGTTTTTTGTTTTTATGAGAAGGTATAAGAATGATTCTTGTTTTGATTAACTCTTGATCTGAATAACAGAAAAAAATACATAATCCCCCAAACATTTTTAGTTTAGAACTCAGTTATAATTTTCAGGTATGCACCAATGTTGCCTCCTCATGCTGGAGCCTAATAGCTTCATCCTGGACCAGTTTTGCATCAGATGATGGAACAGGGCTGACATGCCAGCAGCCCACTTGTTCAGAAGTACCTGCCCCACCAGCCTACTGTACATGGGTTAATCACTCTTTTTTTCTTTTTGCTTGAGGCACCAAGGCCCTTTTTGGGAATTCCAATACATTTTTTGGGAAGGTGGGAAGTACATCAGACTGTTGTTTTCTATTCATCAGCTCTGCAGACAGCCCATTGGAGGTCCCTGGACACCCTGGGTGGCAGGAACAAATGGGTATCGCTGAGGGGAAATCAAGAACTGACTTCATGCTGAAACCGGTTTGGCTCAGTGGTAGAGCGTCGGTCTGCGGACTGAAAGGTCCCAGGTTCGATTCCAGTCAAGGGCATGTACCTTGGTTGCGGGCATATCCCCAGTAGGGGGTGTGCAAGAGGCAGCTGATCGATGATTCTTTCTCATCGATGTTTCTAACTCTCTCTATCCCCCTCTCTTCCTCTCTGTAAAAAAATCAATAAAATATATTTAAAAAAAAAACAAACCTGACTTCATTTGCACACAGGGAATGTCAAGGACCTGCTTCATGCGTCCTGGTTTGTCCCTCTTCTAATGTGACTGCCTTGAAGATCATTCTCTTGAATGGAGTGGTTAATCTCACACCCTCCAGACTGAAAGCATTGTCCTCCTTCCTTCCTTGTTATTCATTCTTATATTTCTCTCTCTTGCTAAATGGGTAGCTCGTTGCCTTTCTGCCAGCGTAAACTTCAAAACACTGCTGAGCTTAGAGTGGGCATCATTATAAGCACGACGCGCGGCCCCCAATATTCCTGAGTTGAAGAGGCTACTTATATTCTGCTCCTGCTTCGCAAAG